TGCCAGCTTGCAGCACCCTTAGAAAAACGATCCTATAAAAGCTATGCAAAAAGATCATGCTGGTGCGTGTGACAAGGATCCAGTCCTGGTAGGAGAAAGCAGTGAGATGGCACAAGACTGAGTAAAGACCAACAGCTCAACACATGGAAATTTCTGGAAGGTTTGTCGATCCGAAAAGGGGTTTATGCTCCTCTTGCACATCTGGCAGAGCTGCAGCTGTGCTATGGTGATCAGTGTCAGCTTTGCCTTAGGACTTAGTTCACAGAAGAGAGTAGGTGTTGGATCAGGGTTGGTTACAATGTGCCTTTCAAACTTTTATTGATTTCCTAATCTCTTCTTTAAAAAAAAAAAAAAAAAAAACTGTGCTGTGAACCCTGCAGGCCTTATTCCCCTTCAGATCTACCCACCCACATCCAATGTATGGAGGGATCTCTTCTTACTGACTGAAAAGTACCCACCAAACATTTCAGAAAAAGTCAGTGTTTGAGTGGCCCGGTGGTGAGGGGAAGTAGCCAGGCTTGCCATTTAGCAATGGGCAGCTGCCTTGCTGTCCTGCAAAGTGGGACATGCTTGTACCTTAAAGCTCTGATCTGGCCGGTGCTGAGACGTATGCCCCACTTCACGAATTCAGACTACGTAGGATTAAAAAGGATCAAACAAGCATGTGAAATGAGCATATACACTTAAGGGCTCCAGAAAGCAGAATTTATTCTCATCACTTTGCACCTCAGAGACTGAAATTGTGAAATTCTAAGAGTTTCTGAGGAAATTTGAGATTTTGAGTAAAGGATTTGAGGATGTGAAGTGAAAACTTTGCAAGGTAAGTAAGGATACACTGTAGAAATAAAGAAATCACTGAATTAAAATTCATTGGCAGAACCTTCTGCAACCCGGGGATGAGGCACCACAGCCGTAATCTGCATGAGAAGAAGCATTTCACAGATCTGGAGAAAGGGTTTGGAGAGAACAGAAGTAAAAGGATAAGAATGATATGGGTGGGGGAACAGTAAAAGGAGAAACAATGAAAGAGACAGCAGTAAAGCATGCATCTGTTATTTAATCCTGGGTAAATACTCAGATTAGTGACACTGTTTTCTACCCCTTAATTAGAGCTTAATTTGGAGACATGTCTCAGAAGGCTACCACAGCTGTGGTAGAGCCCAGTGTAATGTGCCACCATGGATCAATCCCAGCTATAGCTGTTCTTATATCACACCAGCCCTAGACAAAACAAAAGTTTATATGGAAAGGTTGGTTTTCCAACCCTTGTGCCCATAAAAATAGAGCCAGCATGAGCTGGCAGAACAAGGAAATTCAAATGTTTCATAGTCTCTCTACACAAATTTTCACATTACTTTACAACTGTGACGTGCTCAGATGGAATATGCCATGAAGACTAAACATGCATCTGACCTGCTCTTTTCATGGTCCAATTATGGGGTCTTAACACTGGGATCCATCACTTGGTGTATGCCAGCAAAATACCAATGCTAATCAAACCAGGTCTGCTGCACGGGTTCATCTTGGAGCCAGCACTGAGTTTCTTGCCAGTCTAGGCCAAATTGCACTGAGTGGATGTAGACAAAACAATGTGTCTGAGATGACCGGCTTGGAGGAGAACCCATGAGATCTGCCAGTGTTGCTTGTGTCGGTACTGGCGGGGTGCAGGCAGACACCCCTGTGGCTAATGGGGGCACCAGGGAATGAGCACCGCATGCAGCAGCAGGGCCAGCAGGGCTCTGCCAGAGCAAGCAGGAGGTTGAGATGAGACGTCCAAACTGCCAACTTAGTCTGAGTAGGCGGTTCCTGTCCGCCAAGGCGACTGGGTGCAGGGCAGTAACACCACTGTCTCCCTACAGGAGTGAGAAGTCTTTTAGTAGCCTTCTCCTTCGCTGCCAGCGAGAGTTGCCTTCTCTGCCACCTCCTCAAGCTGCCTCTAGCTCTCTCACTGCCCAGCTCAGCTCAGTCCAATGCTGGCCTGTGTTCTCTGAAAGAACAATAGCAAACACCATCCATGCAGGAAGGTGGCTTGGTTTGGTTCTTGTGTTTTAACTCACAAGAAACACTCAACCAGCCGCTCACCTGATACTGCGGTAATAGTCTTGTTCCTGACGCCACCGCTTAGGAAGGTGTAAGGTGAGGTATTGTAACAAGGCCATTGATGTTCTTAGAGATAAATGTGTTGAGTTATTGTTGTTTTTGCCGCTTAAGTAAAGAGCAGAAGATTGTTCTGCAGCAATTAAAGCATTACTGAATGCCAGGGGCAGCTGGCATCCACTAAGAAAGGTACATGGAAAACATGATGTCAAGCAAGTACAGCTAATTAACACCCAGTTTCCCAAATTAGAAGGCTTTTAATAGCTAATGTTTAAAAATAGCACCTTAATGATATCTAAAAATAGCTGCTGCCAAGCCCCAGAGTATTCAGACCTCCATTAAAATGGAAGTCCATTTCCTGTGAAGGGTGGTGTAAATCATGTTTACCTTTTATATGCTGTTCTCTCTGGGATTAGCTGCAAAGCCTAATGCCTGACCTTGAAAGCCTATTTGCTTACAAGAGTAACCTAGAGCACTGCTCTGAATGGTGTGCAATGCATAGGTATAATGCATGGACTAAGGAATTGGGCAGAGCATAGTCTTGGGCTCCTCGTCTTTGCAGACATACATGGGGAAAAATATCAAGGGAGAGATGGCGGAGTTTGAGGAGACCTGGGATTTATTTGAAAGATGGTGCTCTGGTTAGGACCTGGGATGGGGTCACAGGAGGCCCTGGTTCCATCTCCCATTCAGTTGCAGATTTCCCGTGGGACCTGGATAAATTTCCCACTCTCTTGCGGTGCCTCAAATGTCCATATAGTTCTCCCAGGACCTGGAGCAATATCATAAAAATAAATTCTCCTAAGTATGTGCCATGCTTAGATGCTACAATAGCTTCACAGGAAACAAGCTATAACGTAAAAAGGGAAATACTGTTTATTTTCCCTTATGCTTACTATATGAGCCAAAACCAAATACATTGAAAGGCAGAAGCTGAAGCACTCTCGAGCTCTTACATAAGCAAGTGGTGAGAGCAGAAATCCTAGGTTTGGTACTGCTGGAGATATCCTATTTGGTTGCTCCTGGCTGTGCTCCTCTACACAATGCTTGTCTTAAACATATGAACCTTTGTATCAAATACCCTGTGATAGCTGTGATGAACAGAAAGAAATCTGCAGTGGGATCTTCCCTGGCAGAATCCAGAGAGATTCAATGGCATGTACCTGGAGCAATGATTTCTGATATCAAAATTTCTGCATTTTTCTGGCTATTTGCAAATTATTTTGAATAGCGCATAAAACAGCTTATTTTCGTCTGAGCATATGTACAGAGTATCTGAAAGGCCACGGAGCCCCAAAGCAGTAAAATGCCTCCTAAAAGTAGCCAAGCTAAAGCAAAACCAGCCCTTGTTATTTCTCTTGCCTTGCAGTCAAAGGGCCTGGTACTTCTCCACAGATCCTGCCCAATATTGCATTCCTTCCCACCCTATATGTCTGTGCATAGCAGACACACTCCGAACAAATGAAAAAGAATGTGTGTAAGTACGAGTTTGTCTTCCGCTCTCTATTGCTGCCCTGCCCAGCCTAAATAATCCCTGTATTTTTTTTTTCCCTTTTGGAACAACATCCAAGGCAGATTCTGAGTTGTTCTGGCAAGAGACATCCCATATTCATGTTATGCAGGGATCAGTGAATGCCATGATGTCATCTGAAGACCAAAATCAGCGCTGATACTCACCTCCAGCAGTCCTGCCTCGTTAGTGAGGCAGGGGGAATGCAAGCCAGCCTTCGCTTTTGTCACTCTGCGTTATTTTGCTTTCTAATGGTCTTCATTAGTTTTGCCAGATGCTTTTCTTCCCTTTGCCTTCTAAAGCCCAGTCCTGCAAACACTTAGGCTTTCTCTTAATCACATGCGTTCAGCACATGCATAGCTCTTTGCAAGATCGGAGCCTGAATTTGTTCCTGTTCCTGAATTCCAAGTTGGATTTTGATGCAACAGTTATTTTATATATTAAAATATCAGGTTTCTGCCCACACACATAATGCGTGATGTATAACAGACCTTGCAAGGCAGCCGTTGGAAAAGATCACTTATACTGCGATTTATACAGGAGGAAGAGTTCCTATTCCTTGTTTTTCCGCTAGAATTTATACGCAATGAAACTGTGAAGGTGTTGCTCCTCAGAAGCTCCACGATGTACATCTGGTTTCACATGCTGTCATTTAGCCCACAACCTCAAATCATAAACCGAAACTCTGTAGAGGCTAATGAAAATTATTCCCCTTTGAGTTGCTTTATTAAAACGCAACCTCAAAAAATACTGGCATTTCAGGAAAGCAACTTTAATCCAATACTTGTTATCCTCTTCCACAGGTTTTAAATCACTCTCTTTGCTCCCTAGCTTGAGCAAATACAACCTTATTGTTTTTGTAGTCCTGCTATGACCTTCTGGGAATGTTTTCATCATGTAAAGCAACCTGCAGTCCCCTACTTTATAAATCTCATTCATTCCAAGTGTTAACACTAGCTAATTCTCTGCTTTAGAAAGGAAATCATGTTTGTTTTTTTGAAGAGTCTGCTGGGAAGGAGAATATTTGAATTTGGAATATTTTTCCTTTTCCATTTCATAAGTTTTGGTGAGATTGCTTCCCAGCGGGCAGCAGAAGACTGTTTATATAAGCGAAGAGGGAAGCTTGCTTTCCCATTACTTCCACAAAAAACACGATTAGCAGCGATAACTATGCTAATTACTGCACTCGCTGCTCGTGGAAAGCACCTCACTGGCTAGGGCAGCAGCACATTTGGGCGATCATTAACTTCTTTTTCCCTCAATTACCTTTTATTAGGGGAGCGGAAGGTGTCAAAGTAAAACAGCTGCATCTCTTCCAAGAAAAGCCCGGGCTTTCCAAAGGAATTTAGATGGAGGTACTTTCTTAGGAAGAGGAAGCAGGGAAAGCGTCACCATGGCCAACATGGCCCTCCAGCTGCTCGGCTTCTTCCTCAGCCTCCTGGGCCTGCTGGGGACACTCATGGCCACGCTGCTGCCGCACTGGCGGCGTGCGGCGCGCGCGGGCACCACCATCCTCACTGCTGTGGCCTATGCAAGAGGCCTCTGGATGGAGTGCGTGTGGTACAGCACCGGCGTCTACCAGTGCCAAGGGCACCGCTCCGAGCTGGCGCTGCCACCGGACCTGCGCGCTGCCCGCGCCTTGATGGTAGCCTCATGCGCCCTGTCCGTGCTGGGGTGCGCCCTGGCCGCCGTGGGCATGGACTGCACGCCTCCCGCCACGCTCAGCGTGCTGGGCGGCGCGCTGCTCTGCGCCGCGAGCTGCCCAGCGGCGCCCGACCCACCGCGGCCCCGCGGGGCTGCCGCCTCCAGCGCGCCACAAGCCGCCTACAAGGGAGGCCGCGCGTCCTCGCGGGCATCCGCTTCCCACAGCGGCTACAGATTAAGGGACTACGTGTGAGTTCCCGTTGGCTGGCGCATGGCTGTGCCGTCGCTCCTGTGTCAGCATAAAGCACCGCGGAGTGGGTGGCTTTCCGCTCGCCACGCGAAGCTCGCTGCTGCTGGCGTCGTCCTCCCTCGCCACGGCAGGCGAGCGCGCGGGCGCAGCCCTGCTCGCTCCGAACAGCATGTGCAGGGGAGGTGTGTGTGGGTTATAGTATGGTTTAGCCAGCATTTGATATTGTACTGCAATGTTTTGACCTTATCAAAATAAAATTTCAGGGCACTGTCAGAAACAAAAAAGATTCATTTGACAGAAACAAAATGGCTCCAGCAGCAGGTTTCTACAGATGTCTGCGATATGGCAAAAATAGACTTTTGACTTTATGCTGTCGCTAAAACTGGAGGGGAAAAAAAAAAGAGATCAGGATATTTCACAGAATGAACACTTGGCTCTTCAATTAACTCTGCATAGTGACTTCAGCATCCTCTACAGTCCACATATGATGTTCAAAAAGGATTTTGATAAGCCTATCCCCCCAAATCAAGTCATCAAAAGTGCTAATTTCCTCAACTTAGTCCTGCCATCTTTTGTGTGAGGTCCTAATGGAAAGTGCATTAATCAGAACCTTTCTGCTCTTTGTGGTGGGATTTGCAGAAATGCCGCTGTGTCAGGCCTGGTAGCGTCTGTGCCAGAGGAGTTTGCACACCAGGACTGTTGCTGGCCCAGAGAAGTATAAAATGAAGATTCTTGCTGCTAAAATCCTGACAAAATCCAACTGTTCTAAAGCGTAATCAGAAACAATTAAAAAAAAAGAAAAAAAGAAAGCTTAACCATTTTGTTTACAGTCAAGTCCAATATGCTGATAGTACAAAGTGTCACACACCGAAACAGAAAACTCATGAGATTTCTGGTAAGCCCAGAGAGCAGTAGGTCCCTCTCGAGCAACATATGGACCAATCAAATGATATTTAATAGGGTTAAAAAAAATACTGCCAACAACTGTGAGGCAACTACTGTTGGTATACTTCATTTGGCAAAAAGCCTGTTTGCAATTATATTATCATCTGGCAGCACCTCCAGAGCTCGGATTCTGTCAACATTCCCGCTGTTCTTACTCTGAACCTTCTTTTCTGTGGCTGGTCACCTAGACTTTTTTTTATTTATGCTGGCTTGAAATGTGACAGGGTATTTTTCACCATCAGTGCAAGTTAATATTGTTGGTACTTATAAAAAAACAAAATGGCAAATAAAAAAACAAAATGGCAAAGAAATTTGCTGAGAGCAACAACAAAAAGAATTTGGGGTTGGGCTCCAGCATTTGGCTGGTAAAAAGTGACTTAGTCTCTCCAGAATACCTTTTTTTTTCAGGTCTTTAAAGGCAGATGTTTTTTCCTCAATTATTCTTTTTGTTCTATTTTTAGATGAGCTCCTTCATATACATGGGCAGTATATTCTATTTTATAAACTGTAGGTACTACGTGCGATATGAAGCAAAAATTTCTACAGGGATTTTGCTAACACTGCAGACATCTTAAGTAACAGATGCTGTGATGCAAGGAATGGGCAGAAACTCCTCTATTCAGTGGCTTCTTAGTAAAGATGGAGTTGAATTGTTCATAGTCCCTATAGACATTCGGGAATGCCTGTTAGGGTGAAAAGAAGCCTAATAAAGGCTAGAGTTTTTTTTTCCCCCCTGTATTAATATTACAATAGGTCTAGCCAAGTGATTATGGTATCAACTTTGAAGAAGGCTTTTGGACAGCCATGAATGCTGCAGCAGAAGACCAAGGCCAGGAAATGGGCTCGTGTGTCATTATGTAGCATGTTTGCTCTGTACTGATAAATTATTTCACTTGCCAAGATGCTTGTGCGGTGGGAATACTTATGTGTAGTGCTATTCTTGCTTCATGAATCCCCAGCCAAACAGAATACGTGACAGTAGTAAGAACGGCTTATAAAGTCCTGGCAAAATTACCTGGAAGTGCTCTGATGTCAATAAAGAGAGTGAAATGGTTTATTTCACAGCGTGCTACGGGCCAGCGGATCTCATTCCATGCTAACATTGAGGACTTTTCTTCCTTATTTTCTTAAGCTCCCACTTAAAACAGAAGTCAAAGCCATTCTAGCAAGGCTAAAGGTCTGGCTGCAGCAAACACAGACAATCCTTCATGGTGATACCCTGGCCTCCCCTTGTGCTCTGAAGCACATCTCAGCTGCGCGTGGGGTTTCCAAGACCTTAACTGAGGTGTCCGTCCTTCACCGAGTAATCCCTCGGCCATCAGGGGGATCGAAAGACTGAAGAGTATCAAGGAAAATGACCGAGTTTCCTGAAACACTGAGATACTGTTTGTGGAAATGTGTACTTTGGACAGCCTCTAACTCGGCAGCAGGGGAAACCAGGCCGACCAGCGACCGAGGGTTGGCACATGCCTCAATCTGTCTGCATGTGTTTGCTGTTTTATTTTTTTTTTTCAGAGGCCCATCGACGCAGATTTTTTTTTAATTAAATAAACACAATTTGCTTGGCCTCCCCCTTGCCAGAGCTGAAGCGCCACAGCATGGAGGTACTGTGGAGGCAGGTGAGGAAGGGGCCTGGGATGGGGAGCCCCAGGCAGGCAGGCAGAAATTGCTTTGAGCAGTAAGAGCAACACGAGCGCGTGTGCTCCTCTCTTGTAGCACAGAGGCATCATGGTTAGGCTGCATTTTGATATTGCTCTTGAGAGACTAGGGACTAACCCACAGGGCTGGAGGCTCTTAGGGTTGGGATAGAGCTGGGTGCGGAGTGGCTGGCAGCTTCAGAGGCAGCAAGGTGCTCTTTTGAAGTCACCCCAAACCTGGAGCCTAGTGAGGGGACTGACCCCTGCCTCTTGAATCAGCAGCCCCTCTTAGGGCTGGTGGGGATCTCAAGGAAAGAAGAAGTTTTAGTTGCCTCAGAGACTGGTACCTGAAATGGAATAATAGACTGGTAGAAGAAAATGTGATCCTCAGTTATTACTGAGCTGTGTGGGATTATAATGTGTGGGAGTCCCCTTGTATTCTTAATTCACCCATGCCCTCCATTTCCAGGAAAGGGGTTTGACCAACAGGAAGTGCAAAGAGATGGATCTAATGGTGTTAAGGTTAGGTTGGAGACAAACAAGAACCCTCTTCAGATCCCATGTAGGTGGCAGAGTGACCTACATTTTGGCTGGAAGTACAGGAATACATCAGTTTTAAGCCCTGAAGAAAGTGTTATGATCATCATGTCTACCGTTCTCCACAGCACAGGCTGAAAAACCATGATGTTGGAGGGACACCTAATCCACCAGAGGCTGCTCGGGCTGGAATACCCGCTGGATCTGGAGTGCATTTGGCAGACTACTTGTGGGAAGCAGCTCATGCCCCTGATAACCTGAACCACAGGTTTCAAATATGGCTTATGCCTGTGCCCACGAGGCTAAGCTGCCACAAGAGTTAGCAAATTGACTTAACATTTCAGTGCCACTGGAAAGCTGGGATTCCATTTCCCTCGCTGTTGCTCCCTTGTCCTGGCTCCCAGCCATGGGTTTCTGTGGCTCACTTTGCACAGCCAGAGCAGTCTGTGGACCAGCTCTCTCATTAGAAAGACAGAATACAAATCCACCAAAGAATGGAGGCATTTTCTGCCACTATCGTTAGCTCACCCAGCTCGCAGACGGGTCTAAGGAGAGGCCGAGCTGGAAAAGGGACGTTACAGAAGGTTTAAGAGCTGCAGGAAGGCAGATTAAGGATGGGCAGCTTGCGGGGAGCCATTTTCCGCCTTTCGTCAGGGGACAGTCAGTCAACGGCCCAGCAGGGCTGCCCACAAAACCAGTGCCTGAGACATGCCGTGTTGTTCGCTGTCATTAAACCCGACAAGCTGCAGAGCCACTGGACAGAAAGTCCTGGAAATTTTTTGCTCTTTTTTCCTCCCCACAATGCCTAGCTCGAGTGACAGAGTAAGGTGAATGATAAACCATAATAAACAGAACCCATTTCTTTACGAAATGTGCTTGAGTGAACTCATAATAAGGTGAGGAATTTTTAACTAAACTCAGTAAGAAGAAGTTCTGCTAACCTAAGGCAGAAGTTATCAAAACACTTCTACAGTGAGCTGGTAATTAAAGTTTTTCACATCAGTGCATCCAGGTTACTGGAAATTCTCTGTCCACCTGTAAATACCAGCTCCTGTTTTACTGATTACTTTGTTGTGTGTCCAACAAGATGGTTTGTGGAGAAATAAATAAGGGAGGTAGGGAAATCAGTACATTTCATTATTTTCAGAAGCTGCTTAAACACAGGGTGAAAACATACCCTTTCTTTCCTTAGCCGATCTACTAAAAGATATTACTTCTTCTGCATGCCTGCCTTCTGCATGCCTGCCTTATCTACTAAAGATATTACTTCTTCTGCATGCTGCCCATTTTAGGAGAAATATCCTTTTATTTTACTTTATTTTATTTTATTTTATTTATTTTGAGAAATCTTTCTTCCAGTTTAGTCCACATGTTCCAATTATCCTCAGTTTCTTTCTTTCAGCACTTACTCTGCACCTGGTCATGCCCATTCCTAGGTTAATTCAGATACTTTCCCCTTCTTCTGCTAAGGGCATCAGAAGACATGCCTGAGCCTAACAACTCTAGGTCCTGCCCAAGCATAAATCAGAACAGCTTCCCCGAAGTCACTTTATCCCACTTTTTCCATTCTCCACCTTCCCGGGGAGTAGGTCTAACCAAGAAATCCTTCAACAAGAAAACTACTAATTTTGTATGGCAGAACTTTCCATCAATTCAGACGTTTAAATGGGTCCAAAATAATCCACAAAGAAGACAGGCATGATATAGTGACCTCCCTCATTTTTCCTTTGAAGAAGCCTTCCAGGGGTAAAAAAAAAAAGTCGTTAATGTTATTTTCTGCTTTAAGTACGAAGAAAAACCATTCATTTCATTAGCTCATACCTAAAACATCTTTGGTAAGCAGACTGCTAGAAAGAGAAGTGAATAAAAAGAGTGAATCAATGT